AGTAAAAAAGTTGGGCTTTTTAAATTATTTTCTGGGAAGGGAAAGAAGTTGGATGCATCAATGTAGGGAAGCATGCATGCCTTTAAGCATTAACAAAGTTGTGGTTGATAGAGGCACTAAAAAGATAAGCAAGAAAAGAGAAAAAGCATAAAAAATCTCCTTGGATTCCCTCTCAACCTGCGTGCCTCTAATAGATCATATAATATATATATCGACAATTCCCCAATAATCATATATAAATATGAAACTGACCATAGTATGAGTTGGTGGCTGAGCTTAGTCTAGGAGGGTGACCCTCCAGCTATGAGGACTAAATTTGTTATAAATAAGACACGTAAATTTAGATAGGCAGTTCTATTAAAAACGTAGCACGTAAAGTTTTGATACTCTTGTGGTCTTATTTGGTTCGACTAGACACTACAAGAAAAAAGTTTATTTGTGACAAAAAAATTTTGTCACAAATGACAATTTCTGACATAAATAATCAAATTTCGTCACAAATAAACTTGCAACGCAGGAATTTATGACGAAGTTTACTTGCGACGTAGGAATTTGTGACGAAATTTTACAAAATTTTGTCACTAATAAGATCTTTTCTTGTAGTGAGACTAATTGAATAATTATTGAACAAATGAAGAAATAAAAAAAAAAATATGAATCCTTTAATTTCTTCAAAGTATTATGGTATTGCAAAAGTTAGGTTGATGTGCAAAATATGTTCAGTATAGAGAACAATGTAGAATCATTCATTTTTATTGGTAGAACAAAGAAATGTGATTCAAGAATATTCTTTTGCTTCCGCTATTTTATTTCTCATAAATTTCACTTGGATTCTATTACAACCTTAATTGGGCCATAGCCGTTTAATTAAGTACTCTCATCTAATGGCATCTTTAGTTGGGGTACACTACTTAAGAGTTAAGGCAAGGCACGCCGAAAGGCATTACATTTTCAGAAGAGAGCAAAGTCTTGTTTGCTATTTTTTATTTTTCTGTATATTAAGACACAGCTATTTGAAGTTGACTTCTTTTGCAGATTTATTAACAGGTCTATAGCTGATGCTGAAAGGCCACCATTATCCTCAAATTTTGAACATGAAGGATAGTCATTATGTGGCCAAAAATATTAACCATTGGACAGATTATAAACTTACACTGGCGAGACTTCAAAAGTTCAAATATCCTGCAAAGATATAGAAGAAAAGCCATTACTCCAATCTGGTTAAATTTATATTTTATCAGTTCAACAACAATTGAGTTGGGCCTAATCACACACGGTTGAAGGTAGAGGATGTTAATGAGGAGAATGAGAGATATATATGTTGATGTTGAGGCACTAGGATGCCTGGCGAGATGATATAGTATGTTGCGAGATGGTTGGGCAGCACTTTGGCGTATCTGGGTAGGTTGAGAGCGACTGATGGTACCTGCAATGGCACTCTGACGCTCAAGTCAGTTTAGTATTCAAGGAGATTCAAGTATTCAAACATGGGCCAATAACCTCTGTATTAATAGTGCTTGAGCATCGTGTTTATCATCGTCCTTCATGAGGTGATGTTCATGTTGATTGGTGGAAAGGGATGATCTCTCTTAGGCTATTCCTTAGTGGGCAAGCCTATATTCAAAGTAAATTTTGTAGATATGGTGGCAAGTAGAAGCTGTCATCCTTTTACTGGTTCCTGGTGGTGGCCAACTTACATGAGCTATTGACCTCGGCAATGATGGTTTCTTTCAGGTTAAGTTATATATGTTGGCTTGGTGGCCAAGTACCTCAACAAGATTCATGTCTCTTTGACGAGATGGAATGCCTTTTTGGCTACGTTGCATGAGTCTTTTAGGCCTTTTGAGCTTTTAGTAATTGGGCCTCTAACTTACATGTAATAACTCCATATCAATATTCAAGGTTCCTGTTTAACATTTACCAATTCAACTGCCTAATAAAAACATGTGCAAGAATAGAATTCTTAAACAATTAATATATAAAACCATTTGTTAATGGTTAAATATATAATATATAAAATTATTAATGTGATCTTCACATAATATATTAAATTTTTTATTAAATTGATTCTTTACAATTTTTAAAAATAAAACCAATTCTTTATATATAGTGTATCATAATAAATAATTAACTGGTCACGAGTTTAATCATTACGGACTCCAATTTTAATAAAAAAATCAACACCATACTTCAATCCTTAAAAGGCTCTTAGCATAATTGGCCGGTAAATTATCATATTTCAATCCCTAAAAGAACTCTTGACATAGTGGGTTGTATGTATTATCCGTGCAATCCTTTAAAACTCTTCGCATGTGTTAGAGATATAATATATCAATTCATTAATATAATTTTTATTTAATAATTTAAATTTTTGAGTTGAATTAATTTTTTTACACGTAAACTATAACAAAATAGTTAAGAAGAACTTTGAATAAAAGAAGTGCACATACACATGGGTATTATTAATTTTCTAAATAAGGTAAAAGGATAGCCTTCTATCATCTCTTTGACATTGTTAGACATACGTACGGGATTGTCATAATGTTGTAATACATATGGTAGATTTAATTACAAGGATTCCACCTTTTAGTTCTACATGAATTTCACCTTTCTTATTACTTGAGCTAAGCTTCAGTGGCTCCATAGTTTTGTGTTGAAGACCATACCTAAAATGGGTGTCTTATGTTACGATATACCTATTCCAGATAAATTTCATCAAGTAATGAAAACCTTTAAATAGTTTATAAAAGGGCAAAGAGAAACCTTGAGCTAGAAGTGACTTTTAAATCTTATTGATTATTGGAATGAAATTCTTCAATATGCTGAACTTGTTACCAATGAACAACTTTTGCAAAAAAAACTAGGCGCAACTCAAGAATTTGATCAGAGGCCGAAAGCAAAATATAAAATGAAATTTTTATTGAAATAAAAAAAAAAAATTACCCTTCTAACTTCTTCAAATAGAAAATTTTATTTAAACTTTTAAAATCAGATTCTTCTAATATTTCTTTTTAATTGATAATATATCGCTAATTCATTTAAACTTTTTGAAGACATTTGTTTATCTTAAATAAGATTTTATGGAAAAGGTTATACTTACTACCTATTTTTTTACTATCTCTTACTACTAAATCTTAACAGTTGATTTCTGCTAATCTAACAGTTATAATTTATTGCAAATTAATAATTAATTAATAAGTATGACCCCATAAATTATAACCGTTAGATTGACGGAAATCAACGATTAAAATTTAGTAGTAAAATGTAGTAAGAATAATAGATAGTAAGTATAATCTCTCAATTTTAATTTTGAAAAAAACTTATATTCTAGAATTATTCATTATTTAAGAAATAATATATATACATATATATTTGAAAAATAATTGAGTCTTTTTATATGATTATGTCAATTTCTTTATTATCTCTTTCATTTGTATAATTTCTTTTAAAATTTTGAGTTCTGAAAAAAAAATCAAATAGCTAGCTATTATGATTTCTATTATGAAATACTAAAACGAATTAGCTATTATATCTAATATTTTAATGGACAATATATACAATAAATAATTAAAGTTTCTAATATAATAAATAAAATAGAGATGATAAAATTGTTAAATGTTTTTCTGTAAGCTACAAGTGAGGCTTAGGGATTTATGAAGATACTCACTTCCCAATTAAACGAAGTTGAAAGAACTGTTGGAATACTATTAATATATGGGACCAATAGAATATTGACAATTAAAAAAATAGTTGAGAATTTAGTATTAAGAAAATAGGTAAGTAGTAGAACTAGAATTATTAGGCATTTAAGTAGCTAAAGTAAAATAATATGTCATCCACACCAAAAAAAAAAAATATGCCATTTTTATTTGATAAAAAATATATATGTCATTTTATTTTTGATAAGGAATGAAATAACGTGAATGTGAGGAGTGAAGGTGCAGCTCAGTTGGTAATTTGGCACTGAGTTAGTGGGGTTGGATATGTGTTCGATTCCCGCTGAATGCATTCTTGGGGAAGGGGCTGAACCTTTAGCCATCACTGTTCCCCCGCACTCCGGATTAGTCCCATAGCCGGCTCAAAGAGTCGAAGCTCGTGGGAATACCGGAGGGAGCCAACTCGTCTCAAAGAGATAATTAGGATTGGGTAACTCCAAAAAAAAAAAAAAAAAGAAGTACATAACTTGTTAATAACTTTTACTTTATGCATTTTTAATATTCTAGTTTAACTTGTTATGTTAATATAAAATTATGGGGCCTTGAAAATTTAGGGCGTGAAACCCTCGCTTTGGTGGCTAGATTGTGCTTAGAGCTGCTAACTTAGACATCATGTCAATAAATTTTATTTTAAAAGATGATATGTCATCTATTTTTCCACATTCTTATATAACTTTCTTCAAACTAGTATGTTAAAGAATTAATTAATTTTTTAATTATATAGTATTTTTAATGAAGCATAAACAACTTCATTTAATGATATGGTATTTTATATTTTTTTAATGAAGCATAAACAACTTTATTTAAATAGAATCTTTTAGTTTACCAAAACAAAAAAAATCTTTTCGATTCTATAAATGAATCATTTTAAAGTCTGAACACGTATAATCTAAAATTGTTGGAAATCAAACCGAGTAGTATAAAATCCTATATTGATTAGAAATGAAATAAGTAAGGTTTATATAACTCAAAAGTGAGTACTATATAAATAAAAGAATAAATTAACGCCTTAATATCGAGCCCACTTACCCTGCTGGTAACACAATTGCAGGGTTCACATCTTTCACGGTGCTTTTTTTTTTTTTTTAAATATTTCAATTGATTTATCGCTTCACAATTAATTCGATACTGGAATATCGAACACATGCTCTCACCCCACCTGCTCCCGTGCTTATTTCATTGCAACTAATCGAATTTTTCGAGTGCACGTGGCTCTCTGCTTTAGATGAAATGCACAAACCGTATCATATTATATCCCTTCATTTACATGCAAAACACTTTCCCTACATGAAACTTTTACATCTTTTTCATTGAGAATCAAGCTCCTAATGTAACAAAATTATACATGTTTCAAATTTTCAAAGTTAACAAGTATTAGGAGGCCAAGTTGTTATGCACTTGTCATTACCTCTTCCTGCCTGAAACAGTTTTCTTGACTGCTCCAACTGAGACTAAAAACTGGTCAAGGGATGACAAGGTCCTCATGTCATCAGGAGGAAAATAGCTAGCTGCTTTTCCCATGATTGATGAGAACAGAAGAGAAAGTGAAGGCCAAGTAGCATTTTGTTCAACCAAAAACTCATCTAAAAATGCAAATGCAGCCCGAAAATCAGACCTGCTTGCATTTATTGGAGCAGCAAAGTGAGCAGGGATAATTCTCTTGAACCTCCAGTCTCTAGAAATGCTATCAACCCAGTCTCTGACCTGGATCATCATAACAATGCAAAATGATGTGAATTGAGATGTTTGTAATTATCTTTATCACTTCATCATTCAACTTTGTGATTTTTAGAATCACTTTGGTTTGTGTTTTGTTCTCATTTTCAGTTGATGAATGCATTTGGTTTGCTAAAAGATAAGGGACAGAACAGCAGAAAAGAATTATACTTCGTTTGATTGTTCATATAGTAAGTAGTGGACAAAAAACAACTAAAGAAACAACACAAAACTATAGATTTTTATTACCTACTATTCCAGGTTAGAAATTATTGTCCACAGCACAAGAAGAGAAAAAGACAATTATCTTCTACCCTTTCATTATTCCAGTTTTATTATGCGCAAAACAATGCAGAACACAGTTGGTATTATAATAAATTTTGCATTATTCTATCCATGGATATCCCAAAAATTTTAATATTGTGTATTGGTCATCAAATAGCTAACAACACAAAAAATTGTTGTGTATTGTTATGTTTGTAATGTCCCTCCATATGCATCAAATACAATTGATATATTTTCATTGATAATCACAAAAGTACCACCTTGTTTTTACTTCGTTTCCTATTTTCAAGAATTTCAAAGAAAATAATGAAAACTTAGTTGTCATACTTTTGGAACATTCAAGCTTACATTAAATTGAAGGATACATGTCTTGCATAAATTTAATCACATCCAGATCAGAATGAAGTAAAAAAGAAAATAACACAAGGTTGAACAATTTAGTTGGTATTTACTCACCACTAGTAATCACATTATCAATTAATAGCCCTATTATGAGGTAGAACCAGATTATAATATTCTTAATAAGAAAAGAAATTATATACAACTGCAGAATGAAGATTACCTTTTCAGGAACTTTGCTGAAGACCAGTGTCTTCACAATAGGTGAAACAATCAACTTCTGTGACATCTGTGCAAAGCTAGCATTAGGTTCTAAAAGATTTGATGGTCCAAGAAACAAGATTTGTAGGACCATTCTTTCCCATCCTGCAGGATACAACCATCAGGTTGGTTTAATTTGATTTTGACCTCAATTGAAAAGCAATATACTTTGTGCAAGTTGAAATAAAAAATAAAAGAGAAAAACGCCGACCTTTTTGCCGGTTTCTATTGTTGTCAACTACTGGTTCATCAGGTACCTCCTTTCCTTTACTAAGAATTTTTACAGCCAAGCCATTTTTTGCAGATGCTAAAAGGGATTCTTTGTTTATACACTCAGGTGGCTGTCTTGGGACAAAAATAACAGCATCTGTCACCAAAAGTGTTCTTGAAGGCTTGTGGTAGAAAGCTACCTCCACATAGGGCCCGATTCCTGAGAACATCAACACAAGCAAATGACATTTTCATTGTGGATTTATGAAGATTAAGTCTTGAAAATTTGCAACAAGGAATGATCATTACCAACTTCTGGTGAGCTTAGAACCTTTTGCTCTATTTCACCAGCCCAAGGAGTGGATAAATCCTCATCTTTCAAGGTTTTAGCACGAAAAATGCCAAGGAATTCCACTGGTAAGTTCAATGGCCAACTCCATTGCCTTGGTGCCACCCATACCTGAGCAAGGGGAAATTTTCTAGAAAATGGACCAACAAATATTTTGTGCTCGTAAGCAAAAGTAGGGAGGACAATATATTCAACTGGAGCCCCCAATTCCTTAATAAGCTGCAAGAAACAAAAAATAGACATGTTAAGAAAGCATCATAAAATCACCCTATCAATATGGTTTTTTTTTTTTTTTATATTTCTTTTCTCATAAAAATAACCTTCTTGATCAAGTCAGAGAAATTGCCCTGCAGCATTACTAAGGAGTGAAAGTTTGCATAGTGAAACAATCCAACCAATGAATTCAAAATTAAATGTGAAAAATAGGGCCATCCCTTGAACCATATAAACTCAACTTGTTCCAAATGAATAATAGTCCAACAAGAAAGTAGAATTTATAGAGACAATTCCGATTCATTACCAAAAATGGAAGGAAAAAAATTGTCAAGCACTAGCATTTTTTTACTTTCATAAAAGCTTATAACTAGTTTGCATACTCAGAGTAAGAGAATTAGTAATCAAAATGGAACCTGAATACACTCATCAGTTGGAGCTATGGGTGCATGGACCCATAAGCCACCAGATTTGAGTTTGATAACCGTCATTCTAATGTTTGTTGAAACACTGCTGAAGCCTAATGCCTGCTCTTGTTCGAATAGCCATATACATCCCTTCACAGCCTACAGCATGATTAAAAGAAAAGGATCTGTAAGTGTCTCAAAAACAGAATTTATAGCTGAAATTTATAGTGAAATGTTCCCAAAAAATAATAGGATTTTTATGTACTAGAAAATGCCAACATGCCATCAGTTATTATATGCAACACCAAAATAAAATAAATCAATAACTGATTTCATCAAGGAGTAAATGCACTCAGAATCCAATAAAATTAGAGGTCACAGTGATTTGCACATCAAGTATCAGAAATACAATAATAAAAGGAAAAAAAAATAATCAGGAATTTCTTAACTCAATCAAAAGTATAGTCCATCCTATATAACATGTAAGGAAGTTCCTATAGAATTAAGAAAAAAGAAAATTGGAGCACCGGGAACACATAAGAAGATATATATATTATATAAGCATCATGTCATAGATAGCTGATTCAATGAAAAGAAATCATAACCAAATCAATACAGTGATCAAAATAAGAAATAAAACCAAACATAAGATAAATTAAGATGGTAAACCTCAGTCCTAATAGTGCGCCTGTTAAGGAAAGGACCAAGTGGGAAAGGAAATCCAGTGAAGTTGAAGTAAAATCTACCACTAGCATTGCTGGTTGTAACAGTGGGGGTAGCTGAAGCCACAACCAAATTGGTTAAATCTCTTCTTTGTTGTCTTGGTTTCAGATGCAAGAAACGACCCTTCAAAGACCCACCAACAAAATTTGAAATTGGGTAATGCAAATAGATGGGGTTCTGCAAAAGTGTGGACTTTGGAGAAGAAATAGCAATGACTGCCACCATCTTTTGAAAGCTTACTTTGGCACCATAAACCAATGCACTGTTTCTTTTTGTGAGTACATGGCTGCAGTGTCCAAATGGGAAGCATGCGTGGTTATGTTTTGGACACGTGGAGTCATGTTGTTGGATTGTCCTACATGGATGTTTTTGTGTCTCACATTAATTGTAGACACAGGGAACAAATGATGCTAAAAGTGTCAAAGAACCAAGAATTAGAATTAGAAAATGAATCTTCTAAATTTTGTGTAATATTTGTTTAATGAATATTTACAAATTTTGATAAATCTCATCGGTTCTGTTCTTACCTTAATTACGTCATGTGAAAAATCTCATCTATATATGAATACATTAATGAACCCAATTTTAATAACTGAGTTTATAAAATTAAATTAAAAATAATTATTTTAATTATTAATCATTGATTTATATATGAATAACTAAAAAATTTCAACTGTCATAATCATATTGAAATAAGATATGAGAAAATCTGTTTCTGATCTTGCCTAAAAAAATTATTCTTTTTGTTTTGAAAAAAGTTGACGATTTTTATATTTGTTTGAGTTTCTATTTCATTTTCTCCAATGGCAGACCAAGTGGAAGGTTCCGTAGTATTCCAGTTGGCAATATTATTGGACGAATGAATTTGAATATTAAATCTTTAAGATAATTGAGAAACTTTATATTTTCTTTTTACTACGTGATAGCACAATTGATTGTTTATTGGGATGATTTTTCTATTATTCTCACCAAAATATATTCAAAGGGAAAAATAGAGTGGACAACTCTCTCATCATATCAATATCATTCACCCATCGATCTCAGAGCCAGACTTTTTTTTTTTTTTAAATGTGGGACTCATCATTTTTTGTTTTTGCAAAAATCTTCAAACTTCCGATAAAACGAGAAGTATAAATCCCATATATAAAATAATCAAGGAGAATATTACTCTCATGTTACATGAGATTAGTTCTCTTATGTGACAGAGAGAATCGAAGTGAGACCCACCATTAAAAAGCAAAAAAAAAAAAAAAAAAAAAAAGGTGCAATTTTCGAAGTAAGACAAAATGAGATAACTATCTCATGTAAAATGAGAATAGTATTTCTCAATAATCAAACTTCATAATTTGAAGTATGACCAAATTATCGATAAAAGTATATTTGTCAGAAGACCAAACTAGATTATATTTGTCAAGAGAAGCAAGTCTTGTAGAAGAATACCCATAATATACAGTACTAAATATAATTCGAATAAATTTAATGTTTGACATAAATAATCAAATTATAAGAGTTTAGTTATTTTAAAAGTTGGAATGAAACACAAACTAGTTTAAATGCACTTGAATAATTGTTTATTGCAAAACTTTTTAAAACAATAGTATGTAAACCCGTGTTCAAGATACTAGCTTTTTTTTTTTTTAATAACATGAAAGTATTCACACATAACCTCTTACAACTATCTTCTGGAAATATAGCCCTTAAAACTAACTCCTTATTAAAACAAATGGTGCATTGAGACTTCTCCCTTCGAGCGGGAGACAGTTTCCCTCTGGCCATAAAAAAATCCAAGAATTTTGCTTTGGTTAAAGTTTGAACCCCTAACCAAAGCAAATCTCAACTGACCTTGAGGGTTCAAGATACTAGCTTTACCTTTGCTTTAAGTTTAACCATAATTTTTTTAAACAAAATTCAGTTTATACATTACCCACATCAAAATTAAATTTAATCATGAATTGAATCAACAATTTCACTGTATTAACCACATATTAATTGTATCACTAATTTCAAAATCAAGCAGATAGTACTTCCAAACGTAGCCAGACAAACAACTCAACTATTATATACACAATTTACAAGCATAAAATTATAAGCTGTATTGAAAGGAACATCCATGTCTCCATACAAAACAAAACCTGATGTTGATAATGCAAATATTTGCCACCAGGAAAAGACACAAGCATTTCAATTACCCTATTCCACAGCCGTGGTTGACATGAACACTATTAATGCCAAAAACTGACGCCACACCTACCAGCTAGCCAAGCTCTACCAGAGCTAAAATCAATATTTCAAGTATACTGAAATTGAGTGGGGCTCTATATGGGAAGAAAAATGACACAGCTTGTAAAGGTAAGAAGTTGGCTAATAAAAAATACAAGATATTGGATAAAGAGGGCCATTAGGTGAAGCAAACTTATAGTCTTAATGCTTACAAAGTTGGAGTCTATACTAGTTCCCCATCTCAAGTGATGATTTCCCTGACAAGCCAATCCAAACTCGGATATGAGAAGTACAAGATGAGAAAAGATGGGAGTGCAAACAGAATTGTAACAAGTATATACAGAGCTAAAACGATTGCACTGGCTGGTATTGCATATAAGACAATCAAAAGAAATATAATGACCAATGGGAACTTAGCTGTCAACTGGACAAAGAAAACCAGTGACTTCCGAAGAGATATATGAAGTCTTTCCATACTGAGGTAATTACCAGTATTACCATGATACTGGCTGGAACGTGATGCATCTGGTTGGAGAACTTGCCCCCTCCGAAGGTTGCCATGGCTTACTTGGCTTCCCATGGTTAAATTGTCTTTGACTGGCCAGTGTTGTTGATTATCAGCAGAGAAAGTTGAATGTGATTTCACTCTATCACCATTCATGCTCTCAACCATCCAAAGAAGAAAGTAGTTCTTGCGAGGGTATTTAAGATTTCCACGATAAACTAAACGGAAAGATAGAAGGTTGCACCATGGGCAGGAGATAAATAGTGGAAGTTGAACTGGCAGCGTTGGAAATTTCACAACAGCCCATTGCAGTCCGAGGATACAATTTTTACAAAGGGTGTGACCACACCATAAAACATAGGGCACATTTTCCACAATATTGAACGATTCCCAGCATATTGGGCATTCCAACCCTTCCTCTCTGCCTACAATAGAAGTCTCATCATCAGAACATTCTGCAGAATGAGTTGGCTTTGGAGAATCTCGTTTCAGCCCGACACTTCCAGCTACACAGTTTGACGCAAAGTTCCACATTCTGAATCACAATATGTAAATAACCAATCAAAAGGCATCATTCAAGCCTGAATGTGATCATTAAGGACTGACCCAAAGCATAAAATCTGAAACATGCCAATAGGACTGAGTCACAGAAGTGTAACAAGGATAAACATAAAACTACAAAAAAATAAAATATAATATAATTGCCATAATAATATCACACAACAATATAAATGTTACAAACAGAAATCGAATATTCATTTGAAGTAAAATGATACACATGATCACATATGCCCATCCTGCAGGGTCAAGATCATATGCAATCATGTTAAACTAATGCATGCATTTGACACACTTTCTATAACCATAATCAATCAGGAAATAACATGAACATTGTTATTCATTTCAATACCCAATTTATTTTTTCCTAACTAACTTGAGAGTGAGAGGCCAAGTTAAGCCATAATGATACAACCTCATACTATATGCATCTAATATATTTTCTACACAATATCAATTACAAAAATAAACTGATAAGTATAATCCATATGTGCTACTCAGTCAGTTATGAAAAACGCTTTTTTATTTTTATTTTTTCACTTTTTCCTTTGGGAGTGAAGGCCCAGCCAATCAGCCAGAATGTCATAGTCACACTCATGCATTTGAGAATATTTTCTTTAATCATACTCATGAAAGAAATACTGAATATTATAACCCATGTGTGATATCCCCTAAATATGAAAAGTAGTTTGTACACATTTATTTGTATTTTGGATCATGGGGGAAAATCAGTCACAATGACCAACGTATTCCAAACTAACAGCTACTTGCTTAAAAGTCCCACCAAGTTTAAAAGCAAGCTTTCAGTATTTAGTAAGTTTTGCTTTGCGAAACTTCCTTCTAGTCCTACGAAGAATCTCCCAATCACTGTTTTGTTTAAAACAAAAAAATGCTAGACATCAAGAATACTAAAGTAGTCAACGGTGGATGTATTCACCATTCAAATCCAGAGGTATGATCATAAAGCATGCACGAAAAAGCACCACATAGCTCAATCCAGCTAACAATTAGAAAACAAATATGAATAATATGTTTGACTAGCTGCCACCCCTATATGAACTGACTCAACTGCACAGCACAACTAGAAAGCTATATTAACATCAAAAGTCAACACTTAGTGAAAAACACTAAATTTTATGGCTTGAAACAATTCAGGAAATGCATAGCATGAAGAAACCAATCAAATCAAAGCACCCCACGACACAAATGCACACTAGCAAAAAAGTTAAGTTCAACCGAGTTACCAATAACTTGATGGCAGATAAGAAACGAGCACAGGAAGCAGAATTTTCAGAAAAAGCACATAGATTTTAGATTTTCCATTTTTCATAGTCCATATCAAAGTTCACCCAATTTCATATCTTGCCCAATTCAAAAGGGTTGTCCAAAATTAGCTTCTCAAACCAATCCAAAACACCCATCAACAACAGCATCCAAATCCAAATAACAATGAAAAAAAAAGGATAAAAGATAATTTTTTTTCAAACGTGAAAAATGAACTAATCAATTAACACGAAAAGCAATTGCAAATTATAACCCCAAATTAAAACAAAAAATAAACCCTAATAGAAACGAAGCATCGGAAGAAGAGAGAGAGAGAGATGAACAAAAAAGAGAGGAAGAAATCAAATTGGATTTGAAGAAGATGATACCGATTGCCCGCAAAATTAGAGAATTGGAAAATCAGAAAGGAGAAGAACAGCAATGGCACGAGGAGAGAGACGCTGCTTCCATTCAATTCGATTACAATCACCTCCGACCTCAAACGACCTCGTATTCGGGGAATAAATATTTCGACAATATAAAAAAAAATTATTGAATGATAAATTATTTCCCTATTACCAATTTTGTTAAATCCGAATCGGACACCTATTTGATTGGGGCTCTTTCACCTGTTAGCGGTTTTTATTCCTTTAATTTACTAATTTGGTATATGGTTCAAGATATTTATGAACGAGGGTCATTTAGTGACGCGAGGAAGACCCAGCGTCACTGAGTGCCGCTACCAACCCCCCGCGTCACTCACACTTTTTTATTTTTTTGTTACTTTTTTCTATTGAGTGTTGCCCTCCTCCCCTGAGGCACTCACAGAATTGTGCCAAGTGGCACAATCTGGTTACTCCTATTATCGTAAAACTTCGGAAAGCCTTAACTTTTGACTCGAGTATTCAAATCAGATGATTTTTTTTTTTTCACATAACTTTTCGAGATCTACCCAATGACACCTCATTTGATATATTTTACCTTTCATTAATATAGTTCAAATTTGCAACACTAATTACACTTTTTTACAGATTCGAATTATGTTTGTGAGAGATAAAATATGTTAAATGAGATGTCATTGCGTAGATTTCGAAAAGTTATGTGAAATCAAAAAAAAATCATCTGATTTGGATATCCGAGTCAAAAGTTATGGTTTTCCGAAGTTTTACGGTAATAGAAGTAACCAGATTGTGCCACTTGGCACAATTCTGTGAGTGCTCCGGGGGAGGGGAGCAGCACTCAATAGGAAAAAGTAAAATAAAAAATAAAAAAGTAGGAGTGGCGCGGGGGGTTGGTAGCGGCACTCAGTGACGCTGGGTCCCCCTCGCGTCACTAAATGACCCTCATTCATAAATACCTTGAACCAAATACTAAATTGATAAATTAAAATCGCAAAAAACCCCAATTTGTCAAAGAGCCATTTGATTAGAGTATTGAGTCACTAATTAAACAGCATGATACGTAGGGGTGTAAATGGGTGGGGCGCTAGGCTTTGGCTTAAATAGGACAGGTTTGTGTAAAAAACATTGGGTATGGCCTGGCCGGCGCGTAGGCTTCAAATTACAATTCTAGCCTGATCTATATTTAAAAAATAAAAGTCTTGACCTAAGTCTGTTAGCCTGTTTAAGCCTATTAAACATTCAACAATTAAAAGAATAACTAATATAATATTATTTTATTATTCAAAATTATTAAAATATTTATTTTATTTATTATATTTTAAATAAATAATATGATATAGGCCGGCCTGTAGGCTTATACGCCAGACATATACAAAAAAAGCCTATGGCCTATCTGCTAAATAGATATTTTTAAAAGCCTAAGCCTGTTCTATATTACTATTTATAATAGGCCAAGTTTGGCCTAATATAGGCTAGGTCGTAGGCCCCTGTAGGCCGGTCTAGCCCATTTACACCCCTAATGATACGGATAGATGCATATAAATTTATACTTTATATTAAAATTTCTTCATAATAATTTTTATGTTGTCTAGCAAAATTTATAACTATGTCTCTCCAGAATCATCCAAAATTATGTCTAGCAACAAACATGGGAACTAGTTTGCATAACAAGGCCTTGACATTAAAGAAGATATTGCCATTTTCAAACAGTCTCTTCCTCAAATGATCAGTTTACTGGATGGACATTTACTTACTTTTCATAACTATATAACTCTTGTATATTTATAATTTATTTTTTTATGCTTAGGCCCTCCCTAATTTAGAAAAAAAAATTCCATAAGGTCATTATTAAAAAATAAAATCAATATTCCTTTACCAAAAAATAAAATAAAAAATATCAATATCTCTTCACAAAATTTAAATTCGTTATTCCTCTTTGTCTTCTATGCTTTCAAATTTCAATCCAACTTACTTAAGTTTTCATTTCAATTTCACTATTCTTAAGTTTCAATGTTTAATTGTATTTTGTTCTTTGTGTGATTGATATGTGCACATGTGAATTGAAAATGATGCACGACAACTTAAGGATTTTGCATTTGTTCGTTGCTTAAAAAATGATGTCGTTTCGCTTTATTTTAAAAAAAAAAAATATGCATGACCCGACCGGGTTAACAAAAATGGATCGTGTCACAACCGAATATGGGTGGTGCTTGAGACTGCATAAAACTCTCTGTTGGTTGGTGTACAGTAGCAAATTAAATTCTTGTGTAATTAATTATTAAGAAGCTCGTGATTAGTTGAAGTTAGTTTGTATGTAGTCACAAGAGGTTGCACAGTTAGTTAGTAGTAATTCTTTATTCTTAGTTCAGATAATATTTTTGTAAATAAGGAGATAGTTTGTACAATACTCATTGTTAGTATATGGATGTCCTAAAGACAATCTTTTGATTAGATTAGGACATATGTGGACCTTTTATATTGTCGCAAATAAATAAAAGCACTCTTTATCTTGTTTCATATTTTGTCTCAATATTATTGTTAATATTTTATATGAGTAACTGGATAAACCCCTTGGAATAGAACAAGTATCTCTTGAGTATCTGTGATGAGATCACGATCATGACGATTCAAGGATACCACATGTTTATTCCTAATTTTATGTTCCTAGTCTAGAGACACTAAGAATGGGGATCAGTGATCTCGGGTAAGACTAGCACGACTTATCTACTTGTATTTGGATACAAGGTAAAGACCTCATGTGCTACAGATATGGAGATGTCTTAGCTAAAGTCGTGGGTGGACCTATAAGGGTATAGCTCGCACTGAACAGACCCACAAAGAGACTCTATGAGGAAATCTCACAGATAGTATCATTAGAGTAATCTCTTTATATTTGGGTATGTCTTTCCGTAGACTATAAGTTATTACCTAGACTGTGTTCTAGAAGGCATGCTTTGATTGTATACCTCATCTGCCTGAAACATGGAGACTAATAGGTACATTGTTGGGCTTGTCCTGAAAGAGCACAGGGCTAGGGTGATAAGCTGAAGGAATTCGTCAAATCTCTGTGAGAGATTAGGTTATCTGTAAACCGGAGAAATCAGGATGACATTTACAGGGACTCGGGAATCTATGCATAGTAAAAGAGATCATGAGATGATCTGCCTTTAGAGTCGGTAAATTGAAGATTCCCTATTTCGAATAAAGCTTACCTTAAACCGCAAGGGTTGATACGTTTCCTTACCCTAGGTTTAATGGGAAGGTAACCGAGACAAAAAGAAATATATACGGCAACCAAATATGTGTAATAGGATGATCAAGTCATTAATCTAACTAGCTCTGGGCAACAAAGCATTGCTAGTGCTCTGTGTTGTCATTAAATGGGTTGTGGGCTTATTAGGCCCAAGCCCATTTATGTCACTGACTATTTTGGACCTAATGGATCACACACTAACACCTTATTGTCATGATGATCTAGCATTCAAGGTATTGGGCCTAATAATGGTTGTTAGCCCAAGATGAAGTTTGGAAGCCCACCTAAGAGGGAGAGGGCGCATGGTATGGTTAATGGGCTTGGATGGTCCAAGACATTACTAATTAATTTAATTGGTTAAATTAATTATCAAATATTTAAATTTTGAATTTTGAATTTGAAATTTGAATTTTGAAATTTGAAATTTGAAATTTGAAATTGAAATTTGAAATTTGAAATTTGAATTTTGAATTTGCAATTTGAATTTGAAATTTGAATTTGAATTTAGAATTTAAATGTTTGAACATTTGAATTTAAATGTTTGAATTCAAATTTGAATTGGCTATGAAAAGTTGTTTCATAACAAAAGGATAAGATGAGATCTTGTTGGAACAAATTCCTTGTATTAAGAGAAGATCTATGGAGATCTCCAAAGGCTGATTTGGGGCGCCACTTTGGTTGGAGATGAGTGTCATCTTTTTCAAACAAACAAGCTCCAATCAGATTTGGTTGTTGAGAGAATCAGCGAGCTAGTTAGTTCAAACTTGAATGCAACAGCTCAAAGTATCTGGACCCCTTTTGGGGCTGAATGAGGCGCATGAATAGGATGGTCATATGATGACCATTAGTTCAGAATCTTGACTAGATAGAGACCTAGTCTCATGAGGATTCAAAGGTAGGTTGTTGGAAATTTTGAATTGCAACAACTCCACCTTTTTCTCCTCTCTTGTGCGCCATTTTCATTGGTTTTTTAAGTGAAAATTCTGATTTGATTTCTCTCACTCTATCACTCTCTTGTGCGCATACTAGGGGTAAGTTCTCCTTAAGGTTTTCATAAAAGACCTAGCCAATTCTACTCTAATCCATTCCCACTCTTGTGAAGTTTTCATGCTGAAGACTTCACTCTTCTAAACACATTTACCTAGCCTCCTTCTTCACCTATTGAGCGCATAGCAAGCCTTTTTGTGGTGGTCAATTGGTCGCTTGACAGGAAGAGTTTTTGCATCTTGACGTGGGTGGTGTGGATCAACGTTAGAGGGTTTGAACCCTTCAAACCTAACACTAATCGTCTTGGAGTTTTGAACTCACAAACAAAGGTAACATCATACTGTCATAAAGAATGATTCTTGATTGCATGTGTGATTCCACATAAGAAATTTTTTATTTTTCTCTCTTACATGCTACGGCCTTCAAGGCCATTTAACTTTCACTCATTATTCAGAAATGGAGAAAGTTTTCTCTCTAAGTTCTTTGGGTTTTGTTATGGTATCAGAGCTCTGATATCTTGCTTTCATCTTCGTTCTTCTCTCATTGTTCTATGCGTTTCTCGTTCTCGATGGCGAGCCAGACGTCTCTTCCAGATTATTGTCAAACCCATCGAATCCACTGTATCTTCATCCAAGCGAGAGTCCTTCAGTTATTCTTGTCACTCCGCTGCTCAATGGACGAAATTACCATAGTTGGTTACGAGCCATGAAAATGGCTTTATTATCAAAGGATAAGTTATGCTTGGTGGATGGAACCTTCACAATTCCAGAAAAGGCAGATGTTACGTATTCTGCTTGGGAGCGATGCAATACAATTGTAATCTCATCTCCTGGATTCATTGTTCCATTGATGAATCAATCTCCAAATCAAT